GACACATGCAAAGAAAATAGCCAAAACATAGCTGTGGTACTAAAGTCTGATCATCCGGAGGTACCATCGCTGAAAGTCATACAAGTCACTAAAGTTAAAAACCTAGGCAGAGTTACTTCTGGTTAAAAACTGGCTGCGATTATGGAGCGGCGCAGAGCTGACACAGGCCACGAGTATAGGCAGCGGTAGGCGCATGAATATAAGATAGCGCGATTCCGTCTTATGCTCCCCGAACAGATACTGGCCGCCATATATAGCCTATAGTGTGCTGAAAATGGTGTTTAGCCCTATAACAAGAACAACAGGACATGTTAAATAAAAAAGGCATCATTTATGGCAATAACATCAAGTCTCCCTAATGGTCTCTACTACTCCTCTGATGGTAGCAGAGGATATAACGCTCTCGCAATTTCTGGCTTAAATCTCTTTTGTCTCTCAAATAGGGAAACAAGTAACCAACAAGGAAATGTATTCGAGAAGACAAGGCTACTTAAAATTTCAAAATTGAGTCTCGATTATCACAACGAAGGACGAAGGTTCGATGACTCAGCTTGCCGAGACGGTGGAGAATCTGTAAGCGCTTACAAAACTGTGACTAGCATGAATATAGGAGACGAATTGTAGATCAGGTATATGGAATCGGTACACAGTTAGTACTTCCAGTTCAGTACCCACGAATGTAGTTCTTATCTATTTTTAGAACATTTTTTGCTCTCACATTATGTTGGTGATAGAAGAGTTTTATTGATGCATTTTTGGTAGGGTTTTAAAGGTAATTGTTTAATCTTTAGAATGTGAGCTTATGGTGTGGTTGTCTGTGTGTATTGCCGCGGCAGTGCACAGTGAGTGACAAGGCCTTGGTGATGAACTGGAAGTGAAATCAGTGTTCCATTGCATGGTGTTTTGTTTACAATTCAGCCTCTCAAAAAAATGCAGGTCAACCCTTGACAAGAACTTAAGGGTGAAGTCATCTTTGAAGGTATTTTAGATTAATATATGATTTGTATTGATTGTCACACAGGGGTGAGTTCAGTACTGACAAACGAATGTAGAGAATATATAGTCAAATTAATTGTGTTCTATGGCCATATATTTGCTTCTACATGCTCTCGCCCGAACAATAAAAAATTAAATATTTTACTGGAAGATAGTGGGTTGAGATGAGCATAGTGTATGTGTGACTCTGCGTGTGTGTGCATGTTATTGATCATATCTACCCTCCAAATGACATGTTCTTTCCAGTGCTTTAACTTGGAATAATAAGGTGTTATCGTACGTTTAAAAAAAAAGCTAGAACAGAAAACCCGTTTGGCTCAGTTGAAAATGGTAATTACAAAACGAAAGTAAATACAATTTTGTTTCCGAATGATTTTATACAAAAATATGAGAAAACAAGCAAAATGCTATAACATTAAGCACAATCAGACTATGTATATCCAATTTCAAAGTTTAATGGAAAATATTAAAATTAACTTAATCTGTTTTATAGTGTTGTTTGTTTATTTTTTTTGGGTGTGTTTTACTGACTGTTTTAATCCTTTTTTCTAGTAAATAAAACTCAAACAGTAAACGGCCTATGACACAGACAAAAAATAATTATATATTATTTATACGTTAAAAATATTTCATGAATTGTATACATTGTTATATGTCACGTGATAATATTATACTTGAGAATCTCGAGACTTTAAGTTCTGATTTACGTTCGCAAATTTAAATTTGCCACCGACGGGTCACAGTAGCATGTCCAACAGATATTTGCGACAAATTCCTACCGTGTGTCTCTGGCGGCTTTTAAACAAAAATGCGCTTGCCTATAGCTTAACTGGTGACGTGAAATCATCTATTTTGCATTCTGGAAGTGGAAAAAAAATTTAGCGAATTATATTTTGATTTATGTACCAGCAATGCATTATATTTATTGCCTATAGCTTAACTGGTGACGTGAAATCATCTATTTTGCATTCTGGAAGTGGAAAAAAATTTAGCGAATTATATTTTGATTTATGTACCAGCAATGCATTAGATAACTTATTGTGAGCTTATTGACCAACAAACCTTCTGTTCACGCTTTTGGAACGATAACGTAAATTGCTGTCAGTATATTAAATTTCACGCCTACCTACTTACTAATATGTTGCGGTCCTGATTATCGCGAGCATTTTATATAGTTCCTTTTGTAATGTGACAAATATACATCAGGTTGCATCGTATCATATGTCATCATTTTGGATATCACTATTGACAATAATAAATAACAATTCTCTAATTATTAACATGAACTTATATGCATTTGAAATCACAGTTTACCTAGTGTAATTTCATAACGTTCTAATCTTTAAAACACTGAAAGAATTATGACTAATTCAAAGGACAACCCAAAAGTGTTGATGTGATATAACTCAAGATTTCCATGATGTTAAATTCTTAGGCTAAGAAACACTCACCCATCAACTAAATAAACAGCTCTTGTCCCTTAATCAATACAACATCAAAGAAAAACAAATAATGAATGATATAGAACAGTACATCACAGGTGGAAAGAAATAATGAGAAAGAATAAGCATTTAAAGTTGGTACTGTTCATGTATCAGGGAGGGATTGATTTGGATAAATGCAATAAACTGACAGCGAACAGTGCAAAAAACTAGTATTTAACTAGCAGGAGCGCTTTTGACTCTTAATAAGTCTTTTTCAAACGCAAATACAAAACGTAGACAAGACAAACAATTTACCTAATATTAATCTTTCTAGCAACTTGTCTACATAAAGGGGTGCCAATTTGTGGAATAGATATTGTCCTTGTCCTACATAAAGCATTATATTAGAGAAATTCAAAGTTAAATAAATAGGTTTCACCCAAGTTAAACTTTATGCAGGTTATGTATAATATGGTACATACGGGGAACTATTGTAACACTTTTACAGTGCGGCTATAATAAGACACAATCTTTTTGAATTCCTTCACAACAAAACAGAGATTTCAATCTCATTAAAGTCATAACTCTACAGTCCTTTGTGTAGGTCTGACAGATACTAATTTGTATTTTGGTGACATTTGGATTGCCCAGGGATCATAATTTGATCAACCTGATAAAAGTTATGACTTTGAGTTAGCGAAAATTAAATGTTCGCATTGAACTGTATTACCTCCGAGTGGGCGGTAACATAAAACGACTGTCAAACAGATGTTTCTTGAGGTAGTTTTAAGTCCTATTACGCCCAGATTTGTACCTGCCGTTTTACTTATTTGCATGGAACATTTATTGCCCAATAAGGAACGGATGAAGACAGTCATACCAGATCTGTTCAAGATTAATAAGGTAAAAAGTTGTGTGTTGCAATATATATATTTGCATTTCATTATGATATCGTATATCTAGTAATTCCAGCTAATTTGAAGATCAAATCCAATGTTTTATAATTCACATATTGAACCCAGTTGGTTATATCTTAATGAGAACACGTGCAACACAATCATAAACATGCAAATTGTGTACACGGAATAGGTAATGCTTATCTCATACAATCTCATAGAAAATATACGATCGTTAAAGATTGTGTCATGTGAATAGTTTTGTACTTAATAATTGTTTCTTTCTGGCTGCTTTAATCGACCTGGCAGTAATCGTGTAGGATGCAAATGCTTATTTTTGCCATTCCAATAGCATTGATCGACCTTTGTGTATCTGCAAGCGTTAGGACTTCAGTGAAAAACGGTACTAAGTTAATTTGAACAGATCATTGGGAATAAAGACAGTGATTCAAATTGCTTTTATAAATATGTTAAAGTCCTGAAAAAAAACGATCGTAAAATGTAATGGTTTCGATTTAGCTTTCATGGGAAGCCGTGTGGCTCCATGTACTGTTCACTGAGCTGGTTGCATTAGGTGGCACTAGGCCAATATTCATTGCAGTTATATCATAAATGATCACACCAAACGCCATAGATGACTAATCTGAGTTGTTATCATGGTGTATTGCTTTTGAAATATCAGCCCTGAAATGTTTCTCTTGTTGTCAGGCGGTAGGAAATATACCAATAGGAGTATTTCACTTCGCTGTGCTATTCATCTTTTACAAGACAATATCGTTCAGTTAACAATTTTCGTCTTCGATAATTGTCTTTCATCGTAAGATTATTTATGATATTTTTAAGATGACTTCAGAGTCTTTGCTGTTTATATTAACGTTGCTCGATATAATATGCACTAGTTTTTTCTTCTAATTTAAGATCTTGAAACCGATTTGACATTCTTTGTTATCTTCTCGCCTTTTCGTTACATTCTTTAATTTAAGATAAATTTTAAGGAAGAGATGTATGCAAGAAACTGTTTTTCTTTTCAGACGTCTGTAACCAATGTCATTATTTACACAATACCGCAGTATATTTAGAACATACAGGATATCAGTACCTTAGTTTACTCTTGGTACTTTGTATCGTGCCGAGTTTAACAGCAGGAAGACATCGGATCTTGTGAAACCACATCGGTTGGTTGTCGTCAGATAACCTTGAGAAACATTCATGTCAATTTACTATACGGATAATGTGTGGGGACACAATATTTGTATCCTATGATCCAGGGATAGATGGTAGCTTTTTGTACTCAGGAATGACCCTGATGAAAATAAAAATAGTCACGCATGTAAATCGATGTTCTGATTCATCGCAGTATATCATTCATATCATTTCAAAAATAGTTCGCACCAGACAAAACAGCAGTGTGGAGAATCAGCCTATGAGCTAATAATGATGTGATGTGATGTGATTACGATTTTTAACATAGCTTTAATAATTTTTCAGTCATATCGCTACGATGTCTGCAGTGTGCCAGTTTAAAGTGATGTCTAGCACTGTGGCATAATGCCGCAGACATGTAGCATGATGTCTCACTCAGTCACATTATTCTGACACCAGGCCGACCAGTCCATACACTAACCACTAAATGCTGAGCGTAAAGCGAGGCAGCTGTTAATATCATTTTTGTAAGTCTTTGGTATGACTCGACCGGGGATCTAACCCACGACCCCCAGCATCCGAAGAGGACGCTCTAACCACTAGGCCATCGGAGCGGTTAGCTAATAATGATATCATCTTTTTTTTCAAAGGCAGACAATGCCCAGCAAATACAAATATGTTCATAGGGTGGAGATCTTAATAATATGCAAGATTTTCCCTCCGAGTTCCACTCTTACCTAACCATATATCCAGGTGTATAAATTAAATACGAAAACGTTGGCACAATCTACATCCTTAAAGAGTCATAGACCAAATTCTCACTTTGTTTGCTTTGATGTCGTAGTACAAAGTCAGCTGATATTACATATATACATAATGACTCAGCAATATTTCTGCTATTTCAAAAATCCGGGGATAAATGGGATATCTCCCCCACGAGCACGACTGTAATATATATAAATATTATATATATATATATATATATATATATATATATATATATATATATATATATATATATATATATATATATATATATATATATATATATATATATATATATATATATATATATATATATATATATATATATATATATATATATATATATATATATATATATATATATATATATATATATATATATATATATATATATATACAGATATTTATTGGATAATTTATTTATTTCCTTAGAATCAGTAATCAGCAAACGGTGCGTTCAACATGTCTATTACTGGTGCTCCAGTCGATTGGAAAACGGAGTCAGGCATGCCTGTTAGACAGGTTATGTCAGAAGACGTCGGAGATTTTTTTATTGCTTAGCAAGCAACTCCTGGTCAGAGGTCCACCATTATCGAAAAGTCTTCGTGTCCGTGCTCCATCTGCCTCAACCATGTCTTCCTCGATACATTCCTGGGAGTGGAGTGGAGGGATTTTGGCTACTCAGGAAGACTACGAAACGAAACGCAAATTAGGTTAGAATCTGTCTGGGTAAAAATTGCTACAAGTGACAACGCATAACAGTGATATCTTTTGAACTGAGTGATTCAACAATTTGTCATATTGGTATTAATTCTCCTATGCCGTACTGCCTCTCCTTGAATGCGATTAGAACAAAAAACTCGTTTTTCGATAAAAAGTTAAGGGAAAAATGAAATAATATATTAAATGTACTGTCTGGCGACCATGGTGCTGAATTTCATTACTCAGTTGTATATAATTTACAAGCCATATTTTTAAGAAAATGTATTTATGATTCACGAGAGAAAAAAGCAGTTGGTATGCCTAATCAGGTCCGTTCATTTAACTCTCTCTCTCTCTCTCTCTCTCTCTCTCTCTCTCTCTCTCTCTCTCTCTATATATATATATATATATATATATATATATATATATATATATATATATATACACTTAATTTTTGCATAATGCAATATTGGGTATAAACTTCCTATGTCATTGTCAAATTTACGGAAATGATAAGACATATTTTTTAAGACCTCATGTATCGTATTCTCATTTTATGTATGCATTTCTGAATTAGTTTCTGGAATTACATATTTACATTCTTCTTCTGTGAAACGAGTAATTCCACTTAGAAGAAAAGACTGCTAGGTATTTATTTTTCGGTTAAAAAATCATGTGCGTGTATGGCGTGTTTATTACACTGCATTAGATTATATATTTGCATAAAAATGTTTAAATACTTCACATTTTACGGACTCTAGCAAGACGACTGATACAGTGTCCGCTTTCAATATGTTACTTACTTTGTTGTGCGCATTTCATTCCCTACCCTGATCTAAAAATTATTAACTTTAGCATGATCATTTTAAATAAACTTCCTCCATCAGGGAGTAAAATATTTCAATGAGACTGATATCTGACACATATGCACTACTTTAGAAAATTATAACTTCTGGTCAATAAAATTTGACAATGGCATTCGAATAATTTCACGTGTAGCCAACACAAAGTGGCACCAAAACGAAAATAAGCAAACTATTTTCAGTAAAACTATGTTCAGTAAAACATGTTTCTATTCCAACGAGGGAGTTTGTAAAAACCATTCGTAACAGAATATTAAAGTCCATTACTTAAATAACATAGAAAAAAAACTTTTTTTTACAAAGCGATTACACTTGGAAATGAAGGTCTCTTTGCGGCTATTCTACACCGGGCAGTAACAATCCAGTTATATCCACGTGCATTGAAAAGTGAAGAACTCACAAAGTGTCAAAAATAGCAGCAATATTACAAAAAATATGATATTTGTCCTAGGTCAGAGTTTCCTAAGCTCCAGTGAGATTAACTTATTCTGAATAGACTTTACCAGGACTGTATTTCAATACGTGATGAAATATAGAGACTTAGTCTAACCTATAAATTGACTCTGTTGATTGTGATCATACAGCTTGGGTAAATATATTAATGGCATATATAATGTTTTTTGTATTTAAAGTTCTGCACAAAAGTCTGATATAGTTATGTCAGATTTAATAACCAGGCAGGTATGTGTCTAGAAGAGAAGTATGCATTGTTCAAGCGTTTTCTGAGCTACGATTAGTAACTTGACAAAAATTATCCTGACGGTTCAAGGGTCTGATTTGTAATCTATCATATAGGGACAACTAATATATTGAAAGACTGGTGAAATGTACTGTATTCAGAATATGCAAAAACTCGTTGTAGTTACAGGGAAGCTCTCAACAAGAACACAAATCAAGTTCTCTATTTTTATTGACTAAAATATGATCACTTCCACCGAATGGAAATATAACTAAAAAAATGTTTAAGAGATTGTGTACATTTTGATTTAAGATTCAAATTCAAGTCTCCTTAATAGCCGCTCTATGGAAAAATTTTCGTAAAATCTTTTATAAACTAAGATAATATAACTATCTGAACTTAGAAAGTATAGCTTGTCTGATTAATTTTATCGTGTTATATTTCCTTTATGAATCTGATAATATATAATCTCATTGATTACTTATGTTACTGGTAACTTCGATACTGCTTCAATCTATTTCAATGCAGTGTCCCTCAGCTCTGTATAATCCTGTCATTCCTTTTAGAAGAGATATGCTTTATAAGCAGATCACACCAAGAGTTCAATTTTTGTATCAATTATTAGTCCTCTGTTCCAGTTTTCCTGATCGGTCACTCATCCAGTTATCATAATCTACTGTTAGACCACATATTTTTATGTGTTCCTTCTTGAGTAGATGATTTTTCAGTGTGATAATGTAAATTATTGTGGAAATAAGATCGAAATATTCGAGCTTTACGAGTTGTCTCCTAATGTTCCAGTTTACGCTACCATATTACTTTTTCGCTGTGCCGGTACTTCGGTGATTTCCGTCAGTAAAAATCTTGTTACTAATTTATTAATGTTAACAATGTGTATCCATTTCTCATAATAAAATAATTCCAAAATGTAAAAGTATTATTATTGTATAAAATAGTTGTATGTTGCACAAATTAATCTTGAATGTTACAAATATAACTCTATTAGAATTAACCTACAATCACGTTTTTCACGTGTCACATATGTCATAATGATCGCTAAATGAGATGTTTTGGAAGATATTTAGGCGAAATCCAACTTTCGGATTAAAATATATATATATATATATATATATATATATATATATATATATATATATATATATATATATATATATATATATATATATTGTGTTTTAGTTAATTACTAGCGAATGTTAGTGTGTTATGTAGTTTCATTTCTTTGAATAACAGATAGCCAACAAGTTTCAGAGGAGGTTGTTTCTATTTGAATTGTATTTAATTTCTTTAGTCCATTAAACATGTTGTCATTTGCTGAATCAGTGTGTTGAATTTTTACTGGCCCTCCATGATAAATATCGTAAATGAGTATTGACATCAAAGCTTCCCTCCCTATTATATCAATGGCGTAGCTAGTAAGTGTAGGCTTCAGTATTATTGCTTCATATTTTAATAAACGAGCTCTCTTTTATACCAGACCAATATATCTTACATTGTCAGATACGGTGCATGTTTAATCATGCCACTTCAGTAACACACAAACTCGGCATATTGTGATTTAAACTACAAACTTTGAAACTTTAATTTCCTTTTAAGGTTTCACTTGATTGATATCTTCGCAATTTCTACATAAAACTAGACACAAAAAGTGAGCAATCAGATCAGCGTCGTAACTGGCATTGTTATTTAACCTGTAATTGATGTGTAGTGTCATATCAGACACTACTTAAACTGTATGATGACTTGTAGAGATAACATCTTTGAAAAATGGGGACAAAAATTCCCAGGAATATCAACATTGGGTTTTCATTAAAAAGACTTCGTTTGATATCTAGGTGGTACTAAATGCAAATTATTCCTGTCTGGCACCCAATATGGCAAAGATGAACATCAATTTAAAACTATTTCTATTGCTACTCCTCCTAAGTGGAAAGTCCTATCGACAGGTATTTTTTTTACCAAAAGACCAATTATGATATTTAGCTGGATGAAAATATTGCTGTTTTGGCTCCAATTTTGGCTGCCACAATGAATATATTAAAACTAATGTTCACTAAATCTACCGAGTAGAAGTTCTATCTAATAGGGCTGTCACTGTGACTAATTTGAAAATCTTCTCGCTCAAGTGTGTGTATGTGTGTGTGTGTGTGTGTGTGTGTGAGAGAGAGAGAGAGAGATTTGGATTTTAAAGTAGCTTTAACAATTTTTCAGTCATATTGCTATTATGTTTGCAGTATTGCAATTCATAGTGATGTATAGCACTGGGGCGTCATGCCGCAGACATGTAACATCATGTCCTACCTAGTCTCATTATACTGAGACCAGGCTGACAAGTCCTAACACTATCCTCTTAATTCTGAGCCCCTGGCGAGGCATCTATTAGTATCATATTTACGTCTTTGACTTGTCTGCGAGGTTTCGAAACCGCGACATTCCGCATCCAAAAGCGAACGCTGTGAAAACAAGGCCTGTCGCCGAAGAATATCAATATTTTAGATACACAAGGTATAATGACCTAGTTCAATACTTTAACATTTTGTCATTATCATAAGTATCGTTGATTGCTTTAAGTATAAAATCGTTCAGA